TGAGGCCGGTTTAGGGGCCCTCAAATGAGGTCAATGTGGGTTCTCAGCGGTCAATGTCGGCGCTTGACCGCCACTGAAGTGCCCTCCAAGGTCAGTGTAGGACCCTCAAAGACTGGCTTGGGAGCTGTTAATAGCTAGCGTGGGATTCTTGAGCCTCGTGACAATCGAATAAGGGCCAGAGCCCCATACGCCCATGGGGGCCCATTGGTTGTTGGGGGGGGGGCAAATGATATGATGGCCCCCTGATTAGCCTTTGGAGGGGGAAGGGCATGGCCCTGATCCCCCTCTGCGACCGCCACTGCACTGAAAGTGGAAGGGAAGGGGCAGATACAGACATTGCTGGCCCCCAGCCTGTTTGAGCCGAGACGGGGGCATGGTCACCCTGGCCCCCAGCTAGTACGCCTTTGACGAACTATGCCGACCCCAAGCAGATCCGGTCAAGCGTTGGTCGTTTGTATACGCATTCTCCTGCACCGTGCTAGTATTGTCTTATACCTTTTCAGTGCTCGCTGTCCCGTGCCTCGTATTCAACAAAATGCTGTCACCAGGACCCACAGTCTTGTCTCTGATATGGTTTCCTTCATTGAGTGAAGGAAATTGCGGTCAATAACGCTGTAGAAACAAAAGGGAATCTTCATTAAAGGGCAAGCTGAATTGTTGTCAAGTTACCGGGTGGTAGCACTGGTACCTAGGTACAGACAGACACTTAAGTCAGCAAAAAGTGGGGGGGCCAGTTAACATTGCTGGCCCCCCCACCTCCGAAAGTGGGGGGGCCATGGCCCCCCCGGCCCCCCCTGTTCCTACGCCTATGAAAAAATGTCTGGAAACGTGTTACATCGATGGAATTACCGTTTGGAGTCGGTCTATCTTCGGCTTCTCGCCTCTCTTCGGCTACGTCAATTGAAGCCTTTCTAAGTCTCCTGTCCTTTGTAAACTTGCCTTTCCATGTTTGTGACACTTGCTGAATATAAATTCACAACCCATCTGAGCAAAATTCAAATCAATTGCTATCAAATTCACCGAAATTCAGTCCCTAAGCCCGACACCCCACGGACTCCACACAGTGCAAAACACAGTGGCGCATTCGCCGCCGCCCGCCACAGTTTCTGTGTCCAAAGAAGGCAGTGCTGCCACCTGGTGAGGAAATAAGCCGAACATCCCCATTTCTAGTTAATCCAATAATAAATATGGCAGTTGGAGACCTGCTAAGAGCATAGATATGTCTTTATATCTATGGCTAAGAGTAACATGTCGCCGGCTGAGGCGGGATCGGCCGACGCGGGAAACGCAGCAATCACAATTTTGTGTTTACACGTTCATATTTTAATTGTTTACCAACCGATTTTCAAAATTCTTACACCATAAGATTGCCTGTACATTTTTCAGTCTTCTCACAAAATTTGACGCGAATCGAACGTAATCAGCGGTAAGGAGCGCGATGTAAAGACGGAACCGTTCCGTTCTGTCCCGGCACAGTCTACAATTCAGGCGGCGGCTAGCGGTCGGCGCCGGCTGCCGAGCCGCCGCGTCGCCGCGGCGACAGGATGTTCACTTTACACCGCTATTACTAGACCAGTTGTGAACCGATTTTCTTCTTGCTTGCACGATGAGATGTGCAATTCAATTTTGGACAGGTAGCTATAATTAATTTCGCATTAATACTATGAGATATTGGCGAAAAACAGGAGGGGTGGGGCGAAATTCACTCTTCCCCCTCCACTGCGCGTGCTAACATAGGGTAGCCTGGGGCAAGACGCCCCAGATAATTTATTTTGCTACATAACTTTTGCCCCACATCACCTGGAAGGCCAAATTTGTGCTCAATGCGTTCTTTGGACATTTTACTTTAAATTCCACCCGTCAAATTCATTCACTTATGATCGAACTCCCAGCTAGGAAGTGATTTGTGAAGCAACTGAAAATGGGGCATTTTGCCCCAACCCCAGGGCAAAACGCCCCACGGCCTGGGGCAAGAAGCCCCATACTCTAGATTAAAGATTAAACATGCTAATTGACTAAATCTTATATGAGAGGCCCGTTAGACCTTGGGAGGCACGGCTCTGAAGTTAGCACATTCCATCCTGTCAGGTGTTCAGCTATGACACTATTGTATGAGCAGGTTTTTCACCTGGCTCATAAGGCCAAATAATAAATTATTGCAATGCAAATGTTAACAAAATACTTCCTTTGCCATTAATTTGCTGAGAAAAGCACATAAAATTGCATAGAAACTTACTGTTCGCCAGTTACCGAACATTAGGAAGTGGGTATTCGGAACAACACATGAGGTAAAACGCCCCATGGGGCTTTTTGCCCCGCGACCTACTGGGGCGTTTTACCCCATCACGTAGTTCGGTCAGAGAACAACGCCTTGCACTCCAGCAAGAGATAATTTAAAACGGACCAACCCATTATTATAAGCGTTAGACACTAGTTGTTCAAAATACATAAAAGTCGTTAACCTGATGTGGACAATAAAAGAACGCCATGATGCATAATCTGACTGCAAAACATAAACATCACTCCAAAAACAAATTTTTGGCTATATCTCCCTAAAGAGTTATCACAATTTCTTTCCAGTTTGCTCATATAATGATCATATAGTGGACGTTTTATAGAAGATATGATGTTTCCCCAGAACCTTGCCAGTTCCGAGAAACATCGGTGAGGCGTTTTACCTCGCCGGGGCGACTTGCCCCGGTCTACCCTACGTTTGCATATGTGCCATTTTCTTCAAAACTTATGAATGGCCCACTCTAATTTTTTCACAGGTTGTTAAGAATATGGTAGGCAATAAAATATATGAAAATTAGCCAAATCGAAGGTGACGTGTTTTTTGCTATTTCAATTTATGTGCTTAAGAACAGAGTTAAGCAAATTTCAAGGTCATATATTTAAGTAGGTGCAATTCTAAACAAATGCTTAAGAAATTACCTAAACAGTAAGGTTTATTTCATTCAAATCAAACAAGTACAACCAAAGTTATGGTCGTTCAAAAATATAAAGATGCAACATTTCGTAAAAATTCGATGCCCTATACATATTTAGAAGACCTGTGGTCAGAATGTGCAAAAAAACATCAATGAAATGTTCGGGGCGACACATGAACTCGCTCACAAATTTATAATAAAATCGCTGATGGTAAGGTGCAAAACAGCCGATTTTTGTTCGATTTGACGTGGAATGCCCCCTCAGTTTTCTGACGCTCATTCCAAAAGCTAATAGTGTGCCAATGCTTTACAACATACATGCACCAATTTGACGTGATTGTTTAGAAGATTTAATGCTCTTTCTAATGGTGTTCGCAATTTGTCAATAAAGTGAATACTTTCGGACTTATATAATTTTACAAAATGACTGATTTTCTAAAGTACCTGCAACATATACATTTTAAGTTAGGGGTTCCAATTTTTTTGGATCACCCTGTATATTCAAATATATTTATTAAAAAAAATAGATGTAGAATAGTTTGTTTTTGATTCACGAGAGTTTATCACACCCTCGAGACTTTATCCCTGCATCTCGTCTCATGGACAGCACCCCGATCTGATACGACCGTCCAGCTAAACACCGCCGGCTCGCAAGCACCAGCTATGATTCCTTCCTTGCGGCTGGGTCCGAGCCGTCAGCCGGGGAGGCGTGATGATGAGGTACCCACCGTGGACGTTTTTTGCTGTGATTCTGGCTCCCCATGAGTGCGGCGGCAGACTTTGACCTGGACAATGGGCATCAGTACCTAGTGGCGGAACATTTTCAATTAAGGGGGGCACTGCCGACTTTTGGTCCCATTCTTTACATGCAATGGCCATGGGGCTAATGTTAAAATGCCAAAATCAAAGGGGGGCACGGTGCCCCGGTGCCCTCCCCGTTCCGCCGCCTATGATGGGCATCGTGAACCGGCTGCTGACGAAATCCGCAGTCACCAATTAGCAGCTCTAACTTCGACACGCTACCCGCGGAAAGTGCAAAAGTTCGTCCTCAACCCGCCTGCATCTCCGTATATGCTTACTAAATTCATCAGTTAGCGCAGACGTTTGGGAGTGGCTCACACCACATCCATGCAAGTCCGTAAAGATAACAAGCCCTGTAGAGTGTAGACCCAATGGCAAATAACTTTCGGTATCTAAAAATCTATGTCTATAGGGCGCTTCCCTAGTGTGCTTACCATCAAGAGGCATAGGCCGGAGCTGCGGCCTCTCCTTCCCGTGAGAATCACCCCACCTCCCGCCGTCGCTCCTCCCCTCCCCCCGGAGATGACCCACCGTCCGACCAATCAGCGTTCAGGAAGGAGAGGAGATGTGTCACCGACAGGCGGATAGTTTCAGCTTCCACCAGGTGGGATTGGGAAAGCTCCAGTTTCTCAGGATAGTAACCGAGACCTCGAACTTAAAAGACGCAAAATGTCATATAGGCAGTACCGCACTGAAATTTGCCGTTTGAATTTTGAGGCATATGAGCGTGGTATCTACCAGATATTAATTTAATACCAAACGAGAATAGTATACGGAATTGCAAAATAACTTGCTACCGCATTGACAGACTTAGGAATCATTGCGGGCTGATAATGCAAAGCTTACCTACAGAAGTATCGATTTTTTTTTTAATTCGGTATATTATAAATGCATAATACATTCCGTAAATAAACACTAGTGATAAGCTACTGATTTCTGTCACAAAGGCGTTATAAAAACTGCCACATGCATCTTGAACGGCAATAAATATATGCGCTTCTACCTCAACGGCTTTTGATCAGCTTCATCATGAGTTAAAAGAAGTTATGATAGAAATCAATATTCGATGCAACACTAATTTGAACAATGAACGTCATGGAATAGTGAATACACAACCAGTGCAAAATGAACTTATTGCTTGAGTGAATGTGCCCTCTATTCACTAGCACGCGAATGCCGTCTTTTGGCCTTTTCATCCCCACGTGACTCACTTCTGAGCACAGTACACATCTCCCCACAATCAAAACACAAATCACCGAAAAATCATCGTACACATTACGATTTAATTCTCACGATGATATACAGGCACGGTCTATGCATGCGAGTGGGATGAACATGACAGGTCACACGGTGAAAGGCATGGATGCGCGGCACGACGACGAATGAGTGAGGAGGGCCGCGGCGGCCGACACTGCGGCGGCACATGACTCCGTGATTCGGAGCGGCGCCAACACACACGGCGTTTGTTTTTCGCACTGAGTGGCCGCGCATTTCGCCGAGTCGGATGAGTTTAAATATAAACGTCATATAATAATCGCAATCACCACTGTACAGCCGCGCAGGGGCACAGCGTTCTCGTTCGCAGCCTGCGACCCGCGCGTTAACAAGCATCATTGCTTTACGATTGCCATTCGGTCTAGCGCTTTGCCAGGTAACGCTAACACCAAAACATACACGATTAAAATGGCCAGTGCGCTGAAGAGGCAGCGGCCGGCGCGGACCGCTCCGTGCAAAAGTTACGAGCGGTGTTGAGGAGTGGAATTGAGGGGCGGGGCGAGCAGCTGCAACACCCATCTGGCTATTTGTTCTCTTTGGTAATCTTGGAACGCACCTTATCGAACGCACGCTCGACCAGGTTCGACTTACGCAGCCGGTTCTGGCGAAAAATGTCCGAACTTCTACTGCCGCGCGAGCCGGTAGATGGCGCTCTTCCCGAGCCGGTAGACAGCGACGGCGACGACGACGGCAGCGACTTGGGCGAGTCGGGCGACGGCGCGCTGAGGGTCAGTTTGGGCGGCTGCCGGCTGCGACCGAGCCGCGTCGAGCGGGGCAGGGTGCGCGGCTGCGCGGGACGCTGCTGGGCCCCGCCGGCGGCCGGCACCGACAGGCGCAGCCCGTTGGCCGGCTTGGCGGCCGGTCCGACCGCCTCCACGAGCCGCGGGCTGTCCTCCGAGGCGCGCCTGTCGGTCAGTTCGGCACGTAGCACGTCCTCGTGAGACGCCAGGGAGGTGGAGCGCCGCTGGCTGAGGCGGCGCGGCGGCGACTCCTCCTCCTGCGGGGCGGCGCGCGGCAGGCGGCGCCCCTCCTCAGACTCCTCTCCCGAGGAGCGTCCGTTCATGGAGGGCAGGTCCACCTCGTCCAGTCCGTCCTCGGAGGAGAGGCCGTCGGTGACGCTCGGCGGCGTGCCCTCGCGGCTCTGGGCGGGGCTGCCGCCGCCGCTGCCCTGGTAGCTCTCCTCCGACTCGCCGCGCGCCGGCGGCCGCCGCCCGCGCCGGTCAGAGTCCAGGATGGCGTCCACGCTCCTGCTGCGCGCCATGGCGGCCGCAGTGACGTCCAGCCGGTTCTGATAGCGGCGCGGCCGGCGCGGCAGCGGCGACGGCGCCGGTGTGAGGCGCGCCGGGCTCTGGCAGCGGGAGCCGGGCCGGCTCGGGTGCTGCAGGCCGCTCAGCAGCGGGCTGTGGCGCAGCGGCCGCGGTGACCTCAGTCCCCTGCGGGCGGAGAGACGCGCCACGTCAGAGCGGACAGTGGAGGCCGGGCAGAGCGAGGCGCAGGGTCACAGCGCACACACAGCGGCAGGGCACAGACTACGGCCAACACCGAAAGCCCCGCTGACCTGAGCACAAGGCAAGACTATGGCATCGCTGGGATGTGCGCCACATGATCGAGGCACGCTCAAAGGCTGGGTTTTTTAACTAGTCACATGAAGCTTACCATTGCAACCTTGTTACCAGCAACACGAAGACAAGAAGTAAGAGGACAAAACAACTACGTAAGCACACGAAATCGGCACGGCACAGGACATTCTGAACGGAATCGTGCATTGCCAAGGGGTCATTCTACTCTATATAGCATAATCAATTGCCAATGTATTTGCAGGTCCAACACCAAGCGTGCTCCCAATGTTAGCAATACCAACAAAAATAGGTCAGCCAACTACAACCCAAACAAAACCAAGCATATACAATGAGTTTGGCAAGCATGAAACAAACTAGGTCCACACACATTAAGAAATTGTATGAAGCCAGTCACCCATTTGCTACCCAGTATATGATCACTAGCGCCATGAAATACCTAAGAAACCCATGTGCCGTTGAGATGAAAATTATAATTAGTATAGTACAAACCCTTGAAATAGAGGGAGAGTTGGTATACAAGGATAGTTTGATGAAGATCCTCAAAGAAAATTGCTCAGAAGTTCATTCTTCTTCTTGGGAGTCGGTTGAGGTTTTTTGCAGGGGCTGTCGCACCCCATGCAGCTGCAACCCGAAGTCAACCGTGGCAGTGTCCTGATGGCAGCTGCTGTGGATGGCAGCTGCTGCTGTAAGCTTCTGAGAGCTGCTCCTAGCTGCTAGGAGCCGCTGGAAATGGTCGATAGCTGCTGATGACAGCTGCCGTCCGCCTAGGCAGATGCTAGCGCCTGACGGTTGATGCGAACTGCTAGAGGCACCCAACGACGCAGACAACTGGCATCGGCTGCTAGCAGGAGTTCGTGGATTCAACGGCTAGTGCTACCGACCGTCATCTTCTGGAGGACTGGAGCTGACGATGTTACAAACTGCAGCATCTTTGAGCGATAATTTATAAGACCCTGCCTGCGTGGAGCTTCCACCGATTGTCGACCAAAACACCAAGCGATGGTTCGTGCGAGCAAGACGGAGTCTGCCTAGAATCTGACCCTGATGCGAGCGGTACCTCAGTTGCGCAGTTTGGGAAGAGTCTTATCTACCGTGGGCGTGTGTTTTGAGTTAGTCAGCCAGCCCTGCGCGCCCGCTCAGCTTGATATGGCCAAGGTGTTAGGGCGTGAGAGCAGCTATCGCGCGCAACTCCTCACCGAACAACCGTCGGCAGGCGCCAAAGAACACTAACTACAACCACCATGCAGCTTAACAGCAAGCGCTGTACACTACCCACTACCGTGAAACTCTGTTCAATGCGTGAGTGCAACTGAAAACCAACCGGAACTCAACGAGACGTGAGTCGGCATGCGATCTATGTGAGGTGCAACTGCACGGCACAGAGTGGCGCGGCCGGCGGCGGCGGCGCGGCGGCTGCCGGGCGGCTCGCGCGCCCCTCCGGCCGGCCGGCCGGCCGCGCGCGGCCCACGCAGCATACCTGCGTTACGAGTCTCGCGCCGAGTCGGCGCTCTGTGTACGCTGGAAGGCGTGCGCCAGAGGGCGGCCCGACGGCGTGGCCGGCCCCGCCGCGGTGCTCACGTACCGGCCGTCGGGTCGGTCCACTTCGCCGCGGATGAAGCGCTCCAGCTTGTCGACGCAGGCGTCCTGGTAGTCGTGGATCCAGCTGGCGGCGGACAGAGAGATGGGAGGGTTAGAGGAGGGTGGGTAGATGGCGTGCGTGGAGCAGGGCACCAACAACCATACAGCGGCCATCGATCGGTGGAGGCTAGTTTTAGCACTAAACATTTCTTGTAGAAATCGTCCAAACGTGCTTACTGGCTACTGCTTGTAGCCTCACCCAGGTGTATGTAAGTACAACGACTAGCAAGCAGCAATACCGCTCAAATCAGGAAAACTTTAAAATGAATCGCATGATTTTCCGACAAAAGAACTAACGAATTGCTTTTGTCTCATTAATTTTAAATTGCACCAGGCATTTCCAACACAAGTTCACATAACAAAGACGAGACATCCGTTACTGACAACACACTTCCCAGCTTCATCGTGCGAAGTCCAGACTGCCGCCATCCCAAAATGAAATGAGTACAAACTCTGTGGCTGGCGCAAGGGGAGCCTCTCATCTACCTGACGCCGTTGAAGGTGACGATGGACCGCATGTCCTCCGGCAGCTCCTCCGCTTCAGGCCACTGGAAGTTGTCGATTATTGGAATGATATTGCACTTGGACTGTAGCGCTGCGCATACTTCCTGTTGAACAGAAAGCCGAACAGGGTTATAACGGAGTTGGCATCGACTACCCACAACACGATGGCGAGTTTTCATGGGAAGGATCCGGTGATGGTCTTTGATTAATATCGGGTAGCCGCATCCACCAAGCCTACGATATGCACATCAATGTTACATCTTCGGATCAGCAATCGTTCAAACAACGCGAATTGAGCAAGCTAGATTGAGAACGAGCTACGGACATGGTAACAAAATGCCTTGTTAACCAGTAATGGTTACAAACCACGCCTCAGGCTAAGCTGAAGAACATCGTGACTCAGTGCGACTAACCAATAACCACTGTTGTTTATGGAGCATGAAAATCAACACAACGAACATGACCTCACATCACAAAATGCGATGACAAACATAACATTAAACGACTTAAAAAGGTTTGAACAGCGCACAAACAGACATTGGGCCCGTATTTCTGCTCTAAAGTTTCCTAGTCACGCAAACGTTTGGCCAATAGCTCATTGTCTTTACTACAGCCAGCCATGTCACTGGAAAAGCCGACAAAAGTCAAGGCCGAATCCCCAAACAAAAGAGGCAAACGCATTTTACGTGAAAGCCCATGCTATACCGCTAACACGTCATTTGCTACAGGTAAGAATTCAAAGGTTTTTGATCCAATTTAACAGAAGGGCGTCAGTTATAGGTATAAAAAGGCTGGTTATCGCCATACAGAGAATAAGCACGTAAGCGAAGAAATGCAGCGCTTTGAGCACGACTGCGCCAATTATTCCACAATGTCCGTGTCGAATGAAATTTCCCAGTTGTATTCCCATCCTTCCAGGTATACCATAGCTAGCATGCCACTATGCCAGCTCGTCAATGCCAAATAAAAATGGATGGAATTCGCTGTCAGTGGGGCTTGTCCCTGCCGCTGGTGATCCAGCTGATAAACGACAACCAACAAAACCCATCTCATAAACTAGTCTGGAAAATTAAGAAGCTGCTCTGTCCACCCACCTTGTGCACCCAGTCCTTCTGGTCGTAATCCTGTATGCACCGATCCAGCGCCGACGGAGTCAGCACCAAGATGAAGTTCTTGGCCTGTCGGATCGAGTTGAGCAGGTTGTTATCGAACTTGCCCGCCTCCAGCCGCTCCACGTCGATGAAGACGGAGAAGCCGCGCAGGTTGAGGTGCACCTTCAGCAGCGAGGCCAGCTGCGAGCCGTTCGAGCGACGGTACGAGATGAAACAGTCGAGCGTTTTGCTCATGTCGCCCTCGGTTTCCGGAGGCGCGCTCTCGTCTGGGGGTAGAGAACAGGGGAGTTAGGGTCGAGTGGTGAGTTTGGAGAGGTGTCACCAAACGGATGCATTGTAACGGAGCAGTACCGCGGTAACTAACAAATTATCAACACACTGATTGTTAATTCCGACATCACAAAGAATGGACTGCAGTTTAGTATTGCTTAGGTACTAACTCACAGGCGTAAGATTGTGTGCATTTAGCTACCGCCTGTCAATCAGGACAATCCTTTCTGCTTGTGATTCCGTACCTAACCGATCATGAACACAATGACTCGTGTACTACACTGCTACACTTCGTCAGGCCATTGCAGTTCGTTATATAATAAAGGACATTGTCTCTTCATCTCTCAGATCTTAATTCTAAGCCCCTTCCATCGACACTCATGTGAAGCCGGAAGCAACGACAAACGCTTGTCACGCCAGGGGTACTCACTTAAGATGGCCTGCTGTATTTGCTTTCGGTGTATTGAGTTGGCTATACTGCATTCATGGAGCAGCTGATCATCCGTGATATACCTGCAGCAAGCACAAATGGATATTAGAAAGGAAATTGCCCTACTCACAAACATGCATAACATCAGGATAACAGGGAGCACCAGGATAACAGATTAAACCACTAATGACAAGGGTGCATGATTCATGTGATGGCTAACTTCACACCAGACATTCACAGCAGGTCATCGCACAATACGCCAGGCATATCACATCTATTATTGCAGCTTCTTGGCTAACTAAACATGAACAGAAGCTTATATCTGAACACATTGGGCAATCGAAAGTGCCCTAAGAAAATAAGAAGCATCTGGCTCTACGGACTTCCCACCACCCACACAGTGGCTTTCCGGTGTCACCATTACGACATAGTCCTTCCGGCGCCCGGAAATAGTGAGTCGACCGAGCCTGCGGCGCTGTTCACCCGTCTGAGCTGTGTGTTTGTAGCTCTTACACCCCCGTCGGCCTATCACAGAGCACAGACCGACAACAGCGGCGGCCCGCCGAGCGAGCCGGGGACCACGCCACCACCGGATGTGTGTCATTGTGTGTCCCGTGTCACCGGTACGGAGTCATGGTGCGCTCTGATGTCACCGGGGTTTGCTCCGGTGTCAACAACGTGTCAACAGCGTGTCAACAGTGTCACCTGACCTTCGACATGTTGGCAAAGTCAGACACCGGTTGTTCACACAGTCCGCACTAATGCTCATGGGGTAGACACAAGTGTCAATGAATGTCACCCAACAGTCCCCTGCTGTCACAATGCTGTCATTAAGCTGTCACGTGTCTCCAAGAGGCGTCACTCACCTGAGGTAGTCCCTGTCAACTCCTGCCGACAGCATGGGGTACGTGTATGTGCTGAACTCGGGGTTAATCTCCCGCAGAAAGTCGTTCAGCTTGGTGGAGTCGCAACTGGCGTAGTCGGCCATCTTCTTTAGGTTGTTGAGCTCGCGCATGAAGCGCTTGCACAAGATGCTGTTGGAGATGCCGATGTCGTTGGTCAGCATGTTCTCCGACATGCGCAGGAGAAGATCGCCGTCGACACGGGACTCTTCAAAAGCGTCGGAGAAGGAGGCGTAGTCGATCTGGAAGGTATGCAGCATTGTGTTACATGTGTAGCAGCACACTGCGTCGGGTTGGTCGTGTTGAAACTCACGTAAAACACTTAAACTGGTTTGTGAACATCAAAAATTATAGCGGGCCGAAAGGTAAGGCCATCGAGTACCGCAATCCCTAGTCATGAACTCAAAGGTCGTTATCCATTGTCAATGTCCATCAAAGAAATCTGGAATCGAGCTGCGGTTTCGGACCAGCGCCAAAGCCCGTTGTGGCGTCGTGCTTTTCACATAGAACAGTCATGCGCCGCCTTTGCAGTCAGGTGCAAGGGCCGATTGTGCCGCGATTATCAGTCACTCGCGGTGTTTGTCTTTGGGACCATGCCGCCGGTATACGTGCGATGGTGCACGCCGTATCAGCCGTGCCGCTAAGGACCACCGGCGTCACCCAGCCAACACGTAAAAACCGCCCGATAAACCGTACAATCACACTAGTCATGAGCCCTACAACGCGGCACTGGTGAATGAATGAACGCAAACACTGTTTAAAACGTTTTTTCAATTATCAAACCTACTGCACTAGCAACATATTGGACATTTATATGAACAATATTTACAATCTTGAGGAGGCCGTAGAACGACGCAACATTTTTTTATGAAAGGACAAATAAAATGAAGTTTCATCGCGGTAGCAGATCGCAAACGCTACCGACATTCACAGAGACAGAGAGAGAGAGAGAGAGAGAGCTATGCTGTCCTTGAAACCGGGACAACAATGGGTGTTAACGTTCCATCTCTGACGCAGAAGGGAGCACCGACAAAAAGATAGAGCACGCTCTCCCACGGAACCCGAACGGTCGTGCAGCCTCGTGCGTCACTGACCTGTTTGACCCACTCCTTGACGTCCTGGACGCTCCATAGTGGCACCTGCTGGCTCAGCTTGTGCGGCACCTCCTTGCCCAGCGTGCGCAGCGCCTGGGCGGCGTACTTGCTGGCCACAGCGTTCGGCGAGCTCGCCACCTGCTTCAGTGGCTCGATGGCGCCGATTTCGTCAAAGATCTCCGGACAGCCCTGCTGCACCTTGACGCCGGCCTCCATGCAGAAGTGGAAGGCGGCCAGCTTGCGGGCCTCCTCCCGCTTGGAGAAGAGGACGGGCACCAGGCGGCGGAGCCAGTTCTTGGACTGGCCCTGGCCCTTGAGCTGCGACACGGCTGATTTGGAGAACTCGCTGGGGTCGTGTGATGTGACAAACGGGTCGACCAGCCCCAGTGTACCCGATTTGAGCACGGCCGCCTCGAGCTGTTTGTTGGCCACCATCGAGGTGATGGCCAGACACGCGTAGTACTTGATGTTATCGTCATTGTGGAAGGCGAGCGGGAACAGCCAGGTGGGCACCTCGCGCTTCATCATGGCCTGCTGGTTCTCGGGCCCGCCGTACAGCGCCAGGTTGGCCAGCGCCGACGCGCAGTGCCGCAACGTCTCCACGTCTTTGTTCTTGCACTGCGTGATGACGGCGTCCAGACCGCCCATCCGCACCACAGCACTACACGTGTCCTCACTGTGCCTAAACAGGTTCTCGAGGAGATTCGAGCCCACGCGCGACTCCTCATTGTCCGACTTTTCCGAGCAGGTGCGACACGCCGTCTGCACGACGCTGTCCAGTCCTCGCTCGACCACGTACCGCCGGTTCTCGGTCGTCAGACACTGGCCGAGAACGCGCGCACTCTTCAGGTCCATCTCCTTGACACCCGTGTTCACCGAGCTGATGAGCACGTCCAGGCCGCCGCTGTCGCGAATGACGTTACATAGCGAGTTGCCCAGCTCCTGGCCGTACGAGGGCACCGTCCAGGCGCGGGTCATCACCGCGTCCATCTGATCGATCACACTGGCCTTCTGCTGCGGCTGGGACGCCGAGAACGCCTTCACGCCGCGCAGCATCTGCGACACCTGCTGCGAGCAGCGGTTCAGCACCCGCGCCGCCTCCAGCGGGTCGGTGCTGCGCTCCAGACACTCCAGCTCCTCGACTGCCTGCGCCACCGCCGGGCTGGTCGGCGTCGTCACTCCCTGCCGGTCAGGTCAGGGCGGGTCAGGTCACACAGGTCACTCGAGGGTCTGCAGCAAGGGGGTGCGAGCGTTCCGCCCTCCCCGGCGCCCGCCGGTCAGACTGCCGCCCCAAACGCACGGTGGGCCACCGACATGGTTGGCGCGGGCGGAAGGCGGTCGTCACCCCCGCACCCGGCCAACAGCTACCCTCCCTGGGAAACACGCTGGCAAAGGCCGAAGGACGTCTCGAAACATCCCCGGCCGCCGTTTGGGCGACCGGTACTACAGAGAACCGTCCTCGGCCGGGTGACGGGTGCCAAGTCAGACACACGGTGACGTCAGCAGGGCCGGTGACGTCACTGGTCGCCAGGGAGCACTGGTGAATCGAGGGTAGACGCACACGGTGGTGATGAGTTGGTAGCGACAGGTAATTGGTCACGCATTTCAGCGTGAGATAAATTGTCAACGATTTCCTTGCACATAGGGATTAGGCTGCACGATTACAATGCCTACAAAATCAGCCGACTCAAGATCATTTGCCCATCAATGTAATGGAAACAGTAAAAGCAACCCTATCAATTAATCCTGACCTTTCTTGATTCATCACCTTGACTTGACTCACTCACCTTACACTCAACGACACAAAAATATATAGTATCACCGGCGTGGTCCCCGGCCCCGCACTCGGTAGCACCTTTCGACCTCGGCTATCCCTCCCTCTCCCACCTGTTGTTTGCTGATGGTGATTCGGGAGCGGGTGGCGGCCGTGCTGCGCTGCTCCTTGTTGACTACACCCACGGAGGTGACCGTCTGACTCTGCTGGTCGTCCGCCATCGACACCTTCTCGGCACTGAAGCCGCCCGTCGATATCTTGGCGCCGGCCACGGCCGCCGAGCGCGACTCGTCGTGTGTCACGTCACCGGTGGCAATGTGCCGCTCCTCCTGTGGGGAGGGGGGGGGGGTCAGAGGTCAGGTCACCGGTGGCAATGTGCCGCTCCTTCTGTGGGGGAGGTCAGAGGTCAGGTCACCGGTGGCAATGTGCCACTCCTCCTGTGAGGGGGGTCAGGGGTCAGGGGTCAGGTCACCGGTGGCAATGTGCCGCTCCTCCTGTGAGGGAGGTCAGAGGTCAGGTCACCGGTGGCAATGTGCCGCTCCTCCTGTGGGGGGGGGGGGGAGGTCAGAGGTCAGGTCACCGGTGGCAATGTGCCGCTCCTCCTGTGGGGGAGGGGGAGGTCAGGGGTCAGGTCACCGGTGGCAATGTGCCGTTCCTCCTGAAGAAGGGGAGGGGAGAGGTCGCCGGTGGCAATGTGCCGCTCCTCCTGTGGGGGGGGGGGGTCAGAGGTCAGGTCACCGGTGGCAATGTGCCGCTTCTTCTCTTAGAGGTGCGAGGGACCCGGGAGATCAGGTGATTTGTCACTTCACATTGGGGTGGTTCAAATTCACTGAACTGGCACAAGCTGTAGGTATAATAGTGAAGAAGAGTCACGTCTTCCTCTAAACCTAATAGGCCGTCAAGATGTGACATTCATTGACGTGACAGTTCATTAGCCATGAGATCATTTGAGCTTTTGACATCAGACCAAATCACCAAGGTCGAGGATGTCCAGCACTACATAAATCACAGAAGTAAAAACCATAGAAACCGACTCGCTCAGTTTGCGTATGTCATCAACACGGCCAAACCCGACAACTTATGACTCAGGAGCTGAAAACGTAAACATTTATGGAGATTAATGCTGACGTCTGTTCCCCGTCCCACGAGCGGGCTAATCACGAGTCGCCAGGCGGTGCCAGAGGTTACCGAGTGGGGTTGGAAGCAACACGACACGCATCGCCGACACTGGACCGCCATGGAACGAGAGAGGCCCACAGCAGTGGTGTGATTTCAACAGTGGATACCTACTGTGGCTGTGGCTGGATTTTAACAGTGAAACTGTAAGTCTGCTCCAATGAAGAGAACAATCAAGGGACTGGAGAGAATTGTTGTGGTTGGATACCGATAGTAATGAGCTCCTTCGGAGAACACGAGTTTAAAGGTTCCGTTTGTTACGAGAGCGCTCAGTCTTCTCGGAACGGACACTGTTATTGTTTCTTGTGAGCGCGACTTTGCCTTGCCGATGACAGTTCGGTTCTACGGCTCGGAAGCATTGTTGGCACGCAGCACTGTCTACCGAAGAAGCTGGTAAACACCCCACTGGGACTCATCCAGATGATAAACTCGACTTAACTCTCAAAACTCAGCTCAGTGGTCTTACTTATCGCACAGATATCGAGACACACGATACACAGCACACTTTCAACTGATCCTTCAACGTCAGACGACTAACGTCTCACCTGCATTCTGATGTCGCTACAAAGAGCATGAAGATGCAGAACTCATGACGCGTCCAATGTGAACCTCACACGCACGTCACTCGCATCAAGCCTTTTCGCCTACAACACCACTCAGTCACTTGTCCGAGCCTGAGGTGACCTGACCCGACCTGAACCCGGCCTCCATCAGCGACCCGCCCAGCACCGTGGGCTCAGACCGAGTAAGCAGAACGGCCCCAGCCCTTCCAGCCCGCCGCCTGGGGCCCGTCCAAACCAAAGTCGCCTCTCGCCAGTGGTTGCATGGCCTATATTTATCGCTGACGGGCCGAGGCCCGGTCGCAATGTGTGGTGGTCGCGCCCGGTCGCGCGCCGATGTTGTAATGCTGCGGTCCCGGCGTGGCGTTCCAGTCTGGTGATGCGCTATTGTGGGGCGTTTTGGGTGAGCGATCTGCAGCTGTAGCCAAGGAGAAGCCGGTGAATAATTTGATCTTCTGAACGACTTATACCAAATATCATGCATTATTGCATGCTTTCCGCACCTGCAGTAATGATTAAAATGACAATCGGGCGAGGTATATGATGACGATATCAGTTCATCACAAGGCACCAACGCGGACAAATCGCTCATCCATTTGAGTCCTCAAATCGGAGCAGAATTGCCCCGTTATTGAGACGGTGTTTTACCGGCACCAAGATGGAACAGTAGTAGTCACAACACACCCTATCTGACAACGTGTGCAAAAATAGCACAGCCATGACTGTAGGTAGCCAGCGGGAGAGGAAATTTCCTCCTCGCGCAAACACTGCTTTCAACACTCCGATGAGAAAACCCAGATGAACGACCATGGCAGGCCACTCGGTGCATCACGGACGGTTCGTTGGCATGGGACTCACAGGCCGGCCACTCAGCAGTCTGCCGTGTGTTAGGATGACAGGCTGCGACCTTGGGGCCGGGAACCATATGCAAACAGTCGCAGTCCAGACGGCCCACCGGAAGGAGCATTCGTCGCACTATGACTGAGGCTGCAGGGGATCGACCCGGTGCGACGGTACTGCATTCGACTAAGTTATAGCATAGCATGGGACCAGGGGACTTAGAATGATATTGGGACTCGCTGGTAAAAAGCCAGCGCCAGGCAAGAGGTAAATAACCGAGCCGTGAAAATAGGAAAAGGGGAGGGCCCGGAACCGGACACGGTCGCTGAAAAGCCTCAAAACATGAGGGACGGAACTATGTGCCACCACGTCAGAGGCGTCAGAACCCGGACGGAGCACGCGGCGATGAAAAGGCGGATGAAAACCGCTGAGGCGGAACCGCACCGTCCATTACTGGGATCGGCAGGCACGGCACAGAGCTGGTACCTACCCCGTGCCGAGCCGGGCCGAGACGGGCCGGACCCGGCCGGGAGAGGGCTAACTCCGAACGGCGCACCAAGGGTCTCCGTCCCAATGACGCACATTGGGAGATGCTCGGGCGACAATCGCCTCATCTACTCACGGAGGCAGGGCTACACGGCCGGCGGCCGCGAGCCTTCACGACTCTCCGTGCATGATTGCCGCATTAGCCGGAGGTGGCGTTTTTATTCCCAGGCCCAGGCCACACCGACGCGGCTGGCTGAAAGAGCCCACCAATCGCACTGTCATCTCTGCCGTGACATTGTGAGCCATCTCACGCTGGAGAGTTCCGTAGTTGTGGAGTGAACGTTAGTGTGAGTGACGAGTGGGTGTCCGGGAATTGACTTACCACGGACAGCTGAAGCACCCATGCCTCCATAACGGCGTCTGAATGTTTCACATGCAGAAAGAAGCCGGTCATTAAATCACGAATCACAATATGATCCAAAACCACTGATATCGAATCACGTCATCCAGTTTGGCCATCTTGCTGCAGTTTGTGACCGAAGGAGTTACACCTGTTTGGTGACCACTCCACGTGAACAACTCTTTGTTCCAGCCACGCCGAAGGTGTCCGGTGTCCACGCCCCGTAACCATCGACCGAAGGCGGGGCTAGCCATTCCGTGAGCGCCGTCCGCTTGGTTCGTGAGAGCCGACCTTCATGACACATAATCGGGAAATTATGGTCACATGCCCATAGGAATACGACCGTGGAATACCGATTAAGCCATCAATTAGAATGGTATCTCCCTCATTAAAACGTACGTTGGCCAGCATGTTTTCACTGAGCCTGAACCTTCACTAACTTCATCACAGCTCATCACAAGGCGCCCTTCACTGGTTTTCGTTTGAAGCAGATTTCGACCACCTACCTCACCTCCCAGTTCGCATCACTTCCACCACCTCCAACACTTGCACCACCTGCACGAAGGAAGTCACTGACCGAGAGGCGCATTCCTGGGCATCCCGTCCAAACTTCCCAACGGCATAGGCCTATGCATTATGCAAGCCAAACGCGCAGCCAGTTCTGGTGTCGGGCTAGCCCAGTCATCATTACTGGGCGTGATTTCGGGGCCTCCTTGACCCCAACGTGTTCGTGCAGGTTGCGGCTGCCGTCACGGCAGAGGGGATCCACTCGCGGCCACTACCGCTCGACTGCCCACAGCTGAGCTGCTCACGTGTCTATCCGGGCAGTCTGTGACGCGGTGTGGTGAAAAATGCACCGCCCCACGAAACAACACGAATTTCGATACTGAAAGGGGACATTAGCTACGCTTCGTATCACAGACGTCAGCCTGTTTTGCCATTTACAGTGGCGATTATGTAATATCGAGCTCTGAATCAGAGAGTCGCCCGGGTGTCCCACCGCTGCGGGAATCCCGGTGGAGGTCGCTCCATTCAGAACGACGCCACGGAACAGCACGGGATAGCCACTTGTCGACGGAAATACCACACTAAATCTGAGCCTGCATCACCGCGACACGCGAGCGGGGAATCCGCGACCGGCGGGCCGTGATCCTCAGTCCTCACCTGTCTAGTGGAGAGGCCCTTCTCGGCCGTGATGCCGTTGATCTCGAGCTTGGCACGCATGTCGGAGCTGGCCTGCTTCTCGCTGTACGAGTTGTCGCCCTCCTGCAAGTGGGTGGTCTCCTCCCGGTTCGCCGTCGCCTCCTCGGTGCTAAAGTCGTTCGTCACCAGCTTCTTGTTACTGGAGGAGAAGGTCTGGTTGTGCTCAAACACCTTGACGTTGGGGTCGCGCGGCGCGTTGTCGCCGCTGGTCAGGTTGATGTTGAGGAGGTCGCGATCGTTCAGCTTCTCCATGGATAGCGAGTCCGGGAGCCGGTCGGACAGCTTCTTCAGCGAGTCGAAGCTGTCGGCCAGCTGCCGGGCGTCGGCCGAGATGGCCATGGAGGTGGCGGACGCCTTACTCTGGAGCGCCTTGACGGCCTGCGCCTGCGCCTCCAGGGCGGTGGTCACCGGCGCCACCACCGCCTTGGTGGTGGTGGCCGCCAGCCGCGAGGCGTCGCTGATGGCTCCGTTGGCGATGCTCGACTGGGAGACCTTGCGGTTGAAGTTCTGCTGCTCACTCTGCGTGGTGAGCGCCTGAGTCAGCTGGCCGCCCAGCTGAGCCGTCAGCTCTGAGGTGGAGGCAGCCGTCGCGCGCGCCACCATGTTGGATCGCTTGGCGATCCGCGCCGACGCGTTGGCGGCGTTCGCGGAAGAAATCTGCGGGAAGAGAGACAAGGTGTAAAAGGACCGAAACTGAAACTCCTGTCTGGTTGCATTGCTTTTCTGTAAAATGAGTAGAACGGAATCAGGTTACAATAGGACGAAGTACGAAGTCAATATGGTGATTAGATCTTTAATCTGTTGGTCGAAAACAAACTCAAGATCGATGCCAAAGTCCATAACTAATACCAAGCAGTACGTATCATAATAGGTATAACATGATTTTAAGTTGTAAGTAGATGTCAAAATTTCAGCTGTTGATGACTGCCTTGAAGAGCTCAATTGTTCAGTCTGTGAGCTTTCACCGGAGATAAGCATTTTTGACCAAATCTTGGCATGATGAGTGGTTATCTGACAGTTTGGGCCAGGTAAAATCACGATAACGCAAGAATGTCGACATCATTAGCTCACACAAACCCTACACCAAGCGGTGTTCCCCCGAACACGTTCTTTAGGTCCGGCACTGAATTATCTTGTTCTAGCAGCTAGCTGATTAAATCTAGTTCCGTTTAACACCAAAAGATCAGCTGATAACAAACGTATGATGCGCGGATCATAGCGGGTATTTGATATCGAAACCATCAAACACATCAAAGCACGAAAAATGAACACCTGTTGACAGCGGTTAACCAGCAACACCCTTGTCAACACACAAAAACTAGATCACCTGGCGTTACACTGGCGGGCAGGTCCCGCCGTTAACCGCTAGAGCCTGCCCGACCACAACTGACTGAGTCATAGCCATGTGAAACAACACCACGGTGCGGCGCAAGTCTGCACCTTGGTGCGGGTCGACACACCCCCGTCAGACGGGAAAATACGCTCTATACCGGCGCCGTCGGCCGGCCTGCAGCCGTATGGAGCACGCCCCACAGGTGGGAGCGGTAGTGTGGCCGGCAGAATGGTCGCAGGGGAGGTGGAAAGTAACAGGTGGGATTCTCCAAAGGTATGTTACGGAGCTGAGGCAGAGAGGGTGATCGGGAAGAGGGGAAGGTTGGATGGGTGCCCCAGTGCCAGGTGACCGTCCCGGGAGGATAACCGCGGTCCCGGGAGGACTTCTGCAGCCGACGGTCGCGGCGGACCGGCCGACCGGCGGAGACCGCAGCGTTCCCACGCTGATACCGGTGATAGACATCGGCCATGCAGTGCCCCATCGCGCGTACCGGACACTTTCTAAACCGCACCGAGCCTCGGCACTGTGCCGGCAGACATTGGACAGAGGGGTTCTCTCACAGTGTGCTCTGCAGTACCACAACAAACTCACAGCACAGTGTGCTCTGCAGCACCACAACAAACTCACAGCCCACAGCAAAACACCGTGACAAAGTGACAACAAACCAAACCTCACCGCCATAACAAAGCCAGCGAGACATCTATCAATGTCGGCGAATACTCCGCAGGCATTTCCCGACAAATCACTATAACCCTACCCCTCCCTCACGCGGTGACCTTCCGTCTGACCCCTGACCTGAGTATTGGCGCTGAGGGTGTCGGCGGCGCTGGTCAGGTGGCCCAGCTTGGCCAGCGGTCCCAGCTTGCCGTCTGTAGTGGAGAGGCCGTTAGGCGGGGTCGGAGTCTCCGGCTGAGTAATCTCTGGCTCAACGTCCGTCATCTGTCAGAGAGAAACAGATAAAGGTCAGGTCACAGGGTCACCAATAGGGTCATGCACGCGGGTAAGATCAGAGACCATGTGCTCTAAGTGAAACAGAATTTGGGTGATGGGTTGAAGCTTTGATATCATACAACAGGAGCAATAGCGTGATGTTACATAAGGTCAGAGTTGATAGGGTTTGACCCGGCTACTTGCACCTACCTTTAAGCACTACGGAAGGTGCTCGACTGCGCTTTTAAGTCGGTACTCAAGGCACATGAAACAGATACGTCGTACCTAATCTGGTATAGATCTTATGACCACTACAGGTACCTATGTAATCAGGCTGAAGGCGCACATAGCCCACGGAAATGAAACAGGTGCGCCACTCATTCGGCCAAATTATGTAACATTGCAAACACATTATGAAAGTCCATCACTGATGTCCCTGAGATATAAGAAGTCGTGGTACAAACTATAATAAATATAGCAGATATCAGTTGACTTATTCAAACCCAGGAAGAACACAAAAAATGTATCACGAGTCAATTACGTCGAAGTTACTTTAAGCTCGTATGTTTATTTTGCTCGTTTGGCCGTTGACGATTGCGCGAGATGTCATATGCTGGCAAGTGGTATCCAGATTATCAACAATGCGGAATTTATACTCCGCCGGTTCTCTGCTAGTTTGGTAGCTCTTCCATGCAACACTGCCATCCGGGAAAAGATTGGCACGCAATGGCAATGACAGGTATGGAGCAGCACGCTACCTACAGTGGACGGATCTTTTCAACAAATTTACCGCGATCTTCCTTGAACAATAATCATCTGCATTTTTTTATATTGGTGTAAGACTATTTTTCATTTTTAGAATAAAACCAGTTGAAAAGTGCAATGCTAACGCTATTTGGAACGCCACTGTTATTGTCATATCTGACCACGGCAAATGGCAAAAACGTAATTCCCTTGATTCCCATCATTTAATTTTCTTCGCAACTTAATCGGTATATAATTTCACAAAACAAAATAGGCAGATAATTTACTTCAGGGAGGCTTTCCCAGTTTTACAGAAGCCGGAGGGTGTTGTATAGTTTCGTCCCTAGATGTCACTAGTAGTGCGCGCCTGAAGGTAGACTGTACCGCACGGCACGGAACCGAAATACGTGCGAATGATAACATCTACAACCTATTTCATTTCAAAAGCACAAAGTGAAACCAATTTGTGATGGCAAGAACAACTGTCAGAAAAGTAGAGCACCACCAATTTGGACCTAACTGGAAGAGCCCACACATAACAAAACAATTGACAATTAGGTAAACGATTTTTCACGATTAGCCGACACGGCAGGCAGCATGCCAGTCAGCCGACACGACACACTGAACTGGCAATACTCCAACTCCAAAACCAGACACGACAATCAACATGGCGGTAACGATGACATAATTTAACCAAACATGACGGCCGCGCCAATTCGAGTCCGCGCGACATGCCGGCGCCTCCGTACGGCTCTGTTACCACGGCGCGGCGCGGCGAGGCGACCTTCAGTAGTCTGTCTGACACTGCAGTGACAGGCCGGCTCGGGACGGATAGGTAAACACCCTCCACCGTCCCGGGGGAGCACGTGACACGGGAAAACCCACCTGCCCCTCCGCTACCCCTCCCCTATCACCGCTCCGTGCGCGTGACCCACACTGGTCGCGCAAGGTCAACGCATACCTCAACGGATACCGAATATTCCGAACAGCGGGCTGAAAGCGTGACCTCGACGCCGGATTTGTCCGCGCACAAACGGACATGGTAACGGATCCGGACACGGACAGAACGGACACGCGCTGTGGTGTGACGCCACTATATGACGTGACTGTGAAAGCGGCCGGCGTCGCAGCGCAATCGGGCGAATTTCGAGAGAATTCCGCCACGGCTGCCGCTCGACTGAGCAGAATTCCAGGCAGGTCTGGTTCAGTTCATGTACGGACTAAGGTCACCAAAGTCAGGACCCGATGCATGTGTGCCATTATTCGTGACCAGAGGTTAGTAACTGGGTGCACCAGCTCGGAAAGATGATACTGGATCAAATCCGCCGCGCCTGGCATGGGAGTTGACTGTTACCACAACATGTCCCACTTCCTTGACACTACTGCGGCGCAACTGCAGCGCCCAGCAACCAACGGTATACCTTACCAGCAGTCTGAAACTGCGCAGCAAAACTGCACCGCCGCACACCACCCAGCGACCCGGCAGTGTCACTGTTTGCCATGACCGTAACCCAACGCGCCTGTCCAAACTTCTAAACGCGGTGGCCACCACAGTCGTCGCCTGGCACTGCCGGCCAGCGCTCCCGACAGCGGCAGTAGCGGCGGCTGTCGACCTTGGCCACACGGGGCAATGCACCCGGACGCCATGCAGCTCTGCCGAGTTTCCTCCTGACTGTCGGCTGCGTGAGGCCGGTCTGACAGCTGCTGTCAGTCGCCCCTCGGTCTGTTCCTGCTACCGCCTCAGTCCAGACGTGACCAGAAGCCGGCAGATAACATCACTATCCTACAACAATCGCCACACACCGGTGAGGCGTGTCTACCTATCAACTCGCCGTGCCGTGCCTTGCCGTACTGGCCCCGCCGCGCCGAACCGCCGCGTTTGAGAATATTGCGCAGGATGCCCTGCCCGCCCCGGGCGTGGGTTTTCCGGCATCGATGACCTAGGCCCGTGGATGACACCTGTTCACAGGCTCAGGGGCGTTTTTCGGAGAAATCAGCTGGCGGCCATTCGCCGGTCACGTATCACGTCATCGGTGGGCCCGCGTGCCGAGGTAGCGTGCCTGAACAGTGACATCATCCCTGTCTGCCTCCCCAGCTCCTTCCACCGAGGGGTCATTCAGGCTCACAGGTGAACGCCGTGGACGCTTGGGGATGGATGGAGGCAGGCGGAAGGCGATAGGTTAGATGGAGAGCTTTGGACGGTAGACGGTTGACAGTAGGAAGTGGCCAGAGCGGAGGAAGACAATGGGTGGTGGACGGTGGAAAGTGGACGGAGAGCGAAAGACGGCGGATGGCGGATGGTGGATAGTGGACAGCAGACGTCGATCAGACAGCGTGCAACTGCCACAGACGTGGCCGACTGTCGAATAAGGCGATGGTCTCGCATTGCACATCCCCCCCCCACCGTCTCCAGATTGCGCCACATTTGTGGGTCACCGTCGTTCCTTTCCCATCTCCCCAGTGTTTCACCAATGGCCCCTCGACGGGCCTATCGAAACCAGTCGACTCAGCATGACCACTCGCCGGAACCCAGCCGGACAGACTGCTTATCGACGGCGTGCTTCCCGCCGGAAAACCTGTGGAAGCGCGGGAATGCGCAGCGTGCCACACTCCACCCGCAGTGAGCCACATTCCACCCCCACTTAGGCTATTTACAGGTTCATACTGTGATGCAACGTCGGCGAAACTTGGGCGGTTTTACCAGAATCGGAGCGTTTCTGGTGGAGTGACAGCATAAGATGCGATTAACTTTGGCTTCACTGGTGTAAATGGACCTTGGCATCACCACATATCCTTGACGTCGACCTTGGCGCACCACTAACCACCCGTATGGCGAGTGTGGGATAATTTCAAACCGCAGTCTGAGTCACCTACGAACGGAGACATCCCTCCCCGGATAACGGAGCTCAGCGAACCGAGTTCTCTCTCGCACATTCCGGTCCCACCAAACGGGGCAGCTGGCCGGATCAGTATCTCGCAAACCCACAAAAACGGACCCATAACCTAGATCAAATCGGACAGTAGGGCCGGGTAGGCGGGCTTCGGTCCGAGCCGCCGCGCGCTGGCGGATATCACACATGGCCACATCCTGATGGAGGTCGGCTCTGATCGTACCGACACATCCGGTCTCCCGACAGCCACCGGTCTCACGTCTCCGACGGCGACGGCCCGGACACGCCTCACGTCCTCATCGGACGCACGTGCGGTCCACGCCCCACGTCCCCACCAGACAGACGTGCGGTCCACGTCCAGCCCTCACCGGACGCACGTGCGGTCCACGCTCCACGTCCCCACCAGACAGACGTGCAGTTCACGTCCAACCCTCACCGGACACACGTGCACTTCACGCCCTGCACGTCCCCATCAGACAGACGTGCGGTTCACCTATCACGTCCTATGTTTTCACCCAACACACGAGCGGCCCACGTTCACGTACCACGTACAACGGAGTGTCTCTCAAGGGCTCCAGGTTAAAACCCAGATCACGAAAATGGGCGTGTTTCAGACCATCACGTCGTACTGCAGTGCTTCAAATCTGCCGACCGTCAATGTAAGCCACAATTCCGCCACTGCGGATCACTGTTACTCATGTCTGGTAATCGTACCTCACGAGTTTAGGCGCCCCCGGCTAGATGTCGTAAACATTTCACCGTCCCGTTCCCGCCCTGCCTCGGACGAATCCACGGGCTTCGGGCGTCGTCGGGTCGACCGGCGCGGGCGGGCGGATTGAAGAGTGGAGTGGCGCGCTATCAAGTCTGGCCTCCGTCGCGAGGGGGCGGGCAGATAGCGCACTATCACGCGAGTATGCAACACACGGCTCGCCGCCGATCGTCAGCGGGACAGACAGCCGATACGGAGGGTGCGGTAGGTGCTACTAAGGTGAGGTGGCGCCGACGGTACAGCGGAAAGGTGTAGCAATGCTCCCCGATAGCGCAGCGGGGTGTTTCAGATATGCCAACTGCGAAGGGGTCGATATGCGCTTTTGTGCACCACTGCAGTGCAAGGAATAGCGCTGTCTGAGAAGTATGCAGCTACGTAGGAGCCGTGGCGTTCCTGCAGTTCTTATGCACGCATATCTTGGCGGTCGGTTTGACCAATGAAGGGTGCAGTGAGCGGGAAAACACGTTATCCTTGACGGCCGCTAACTGGCAATTTATTACTTAGACCGACCACATCCCGGTGGACTAGCGGTTAGGGCCAGAGGCGTGCCTCGGGAACAAACGGATGGGAGTTCCGCGGGCGACCCGTGCGTTAAAGATCCCCAC